TTTGAATAGGATTTTAAATAAAGGCGTTTTTTTAGGTGAAATGAACATCATAGTTTAATAATATGATTTGTTCTGATTGTTTATTAGCAATATTTCTTAGTTATAAGCTCTTTCTTGGTTGGAATTCTTGTATTTTTTGTTAAAATTGATAGAAATATTGTAATTTGACAACTATATATAATTTATATACGTCAGAACCGATTAGACCTAGAATCTGTAGTGGGTTAAGGTCCTTTTTCAAATGATTTTAACTATATTCATGTTAACACCGATGAGCGGAAAAAAGACTCCAAAACGGTGTTCTTTAGATTCACTATTAGGGGAAGTAAAAAGATTTTGAAAACTATATAAATAAAAAGTTTCTTTAAATATTAAAAAAAAACAGGAAGCAAAAAAAAAATATAACATCTAAAGCTCTTGTTTGGACATAATACCTTGATAATATCATGCTAATTCCAAATAAAAGAATTCGAATAATTTGTAAATCGCCTTAACTACAACGAGTGTATAAATTTTAAAAATGGAACTTTTCTTATCTGATTACTTATTATGTCAGATGATGAGCGAATTATGATCCACTACATGGCTAAGTTTATTAGTCAGATACAGTTTTTCCCCTCGATTTACCCCAGTTAATGACTTCAAATTTTTTGTTACAATAAACTGGTAGCAAGAAGAGGATTCAGATATTGTAACTGCTGTGATTTCGTCAATTAACAGAAATCTTTGGTATCTAACCAAAAAACTTTTTTCTACCCCAAGATACCCCAAAAATTGTGAAAATAAAATTCATACAGTAAATATTTCAATCTTTTTTTTTTTTAATTGGGCTACGGTCATAACTTTCTTTTTTAATTTATTAAGACTAATAAATGATCATGAATGGCTCCAGATGAAACCACTAGAGTGAACGTTCTTTCAAGATTAAAACTGCAGAAAACTTGATTAAACAATTAGAATCAACAAATGATTACGCCGAAAGAGGAATCAAGCTTGTTGGCGATTTCCGCGAGTGTGCACAAAATATAAAGCAACACCAACTTATTTTACAAGTTGTTAAACAACACAGAAAGCAAAACTCATCTTATTTTAAATCAATTTAATTAATACTTTACAGTTTATTTTGTTATATATTAATAGTATTTATTAATAAATATTTAAAAAAAAACTAATGCCTAAAAATAGCCTGATTAAATTTTAATTTAATTTTCATTAGGATTTAAAAAATAAAAGGTTTTGTAGCTTCTTATTTTTAATACGGCATTTATTAATTTTTTTGAAAACTTGGCCAAATGTTCATCTGATAACCTTTAATATATTTTAACATAGCATAAAATTTATTATTTTCTAAGTTATTTACATCGAAAATTGAAAAAAGTGTAAAATAAAAACGCCATTTTTTAAGATGGCGACCTCTAGATAACATTTTTAAATTTTGTAATATTTACAGGCGCGTTTTTTGCCCATTATTTACTGCATTATGCGAGTAACATATTTATGTATGTATGTATATATGTATGTATGTATGTATGTATGTATGTATGTATGTATGTATGTATGTATGTATGTATGTATGTATGTATGTATGTATGAATGTATGTACTTATGCATGTATGTATATACATATGATAGAGGACATTTATACCAAAAAAAATAAAAAAAGATGTAATGAGAAAAAATATAATAAATAAAAAAAAACAATAACAGTTTTTTTTTAAAGATAATTTTGTAACAAAGATTTTTATTTATAACAATAGTAACATTTATATATTATTGACTCTCTAAAATAATATAACAATAAATATAATAATAATATAGAGCCGTGTCAAGGCTACCCCGTCTAGAGGGCCCAGCAAACTTAGGGGCTCTTTAACAAATAAAAATTGTTATTTTTATTATTTCATTTTGTGATAGCAATAGTAATAAGACTGCTGTAACGACTCGCGGAGCATAAAGTTTAAAATTCGTACTTCAACAGCCGTTAACAAATGTTTATCTAGCTTTAAAAGAATTTACTGTCTTTGTAGATACCACTTTTTCAGGTAAGGTATTTCAATGAGGTATCACTCTGTTCGTAAAAAAATGTCTAAGGGTTATTTTTGCAAATTCCCTTTCAAATTTCATTGAATGACCTTTTAAACTTTGGGAAGCTTTATGAAGCTTTTTATACTTAATATCTTATCAATTTCAAGTCTTTGTTTCAAGTCTTAATCGTCTTGTTTCGAGTGTTGTGAGACCCAATCTTAATATCTAATACAAAATTATTTAAAAAAATTTTAAAGCCATGACGACACGTTTTTCAGGGGGAGGGGGGCCTCTGGGCCAATAGCCTCGGTACTGTTTACACATTATATAGATTATATGTAATGTTTTCTAATAAAACACAAACTATATACGTGCATTGCAAATTCTATTTAAAAGAATTTCAAGTTCAACTTAAAAAAATTAAACTGTCCTTTATACTTTTTAAAAAAACTCGTTAGAAATTAAAAAAAGCAAAACAAATTTCACGATTAATAACTCTAAAAGCCACAGGTATGCAAAGTTTTTGTGACTAATGATCTGAAAAATTTTGTTTTTTTCTGCTAACATAAAGCTAATATATTTTTTCGGTCATGTATTTTTAGCATACAAATTATTTCACTTTTAAAACAAAAAAGTGTTGCTTTATGTAAAACATAAAAGTGTTGCTTCAAGTAAAACAAAAATGTGTTGCTTTAAGCAAAACATAAAAGTGTTGCTTCAAGTAAAACAAAAATGTGTTGCTTTAAGTAAAACATAAAAGTGTTGCTTTAAGTAAAACAAAAAAAGTGTTGCTTTAAGTAAAACATTAAAGTGTTGGTTCAAGTAAGACAAAAAAGTGTTGCTCCAAGTAAAACATAAAAGTGTTGCTTTAAGTAAAACATAAAAGTGTTGCTTTAAGTAAAACATAAAAGTGTTGCTTTAAGTAAAACATAAAAGTGTTGCTTTAAGTAAAACATAAAAGTGTTGCTTTAAGTAAAACATAAAAGTGTTGCTTTAAGTAAAACATAAAAGTGTTGCTTTAAGTAAAACAAAAGTGTTGCTTTAAGTAAAATACGGTGTAAGCAACTGTTCTATTAGTATACCATAAATTTTATATAAAGTATATTGACATAAATATGTATTGACAAGCAAAATATAACTATTTATTGAAACACCATAAAAAACTATAGAGAGAAAAAATAAGTTTTTAAGTTCCAAAACTAAAAAAATATTTACCATCAAAAGTATATCAGATCACTGGCAATTAATGGCATTTCCATTGTTGAGGCGTAAAATTAATGTTTGTCAATTTGAAGTTGTTTACTCGTGACCAGGCAGATTGATGCTCCATATACAATTCTTCAGCATTTCCGAACCGACCATGCTAACGTACCTTATCACGAAAATGTTTCTATACATTCTCAAAAGGATTTAGATCAGGAGATTGGGCACTGCTTAATAAGCAGGCCATCGAATTACAGTAATTTTATTTATATTAAACCATGCTTTAACGAGTTTTGATTTTTGTTTAGGATCATTGTCCTATTAGAACCGTAGTAGCATATTTTCATATACAAAAGGCATTATTTGATTCTCCTGAATTAAATTATGTATGTATTTTTCCATTATACTTTTAATGTGGTCGAGTTCTTCCAACCCAGAACATATTGAAAAGCACTCCTAAACCATCCAGTCTTTCTCACCCCCATACTTTGCGGTTTTTATAGTGTACTTTGAATTTAATCGCTGGTATTCTAAAATTTTGTCTACCATCTGAAACTCTTAGAAAAACTTCGACTCATCCAACCATAATATTCGTCTCCACTGTACTACCGATAGCAACTGTACTGCAATCTTACAAATGTTGCCATAAAGTATTTTTTGAAATATCGATTTCCAATTCGCGAATTATGTCTGGCACTAGCAATCGATTTTTTTTCACGGACCTGATAATTCTAAAATTGATATGAGGAATTCTGTTTTTTGGTTGTTCCCTAAATGCGCAATTTCAACAGTTCTTTTAGTTTTATATTTGTTAACTAATCGACTTATAACCACTTTTGAAATTTTATACTGTTACACAAACCACTCTGTATAGTTCTAGCATTAAATTTTTTTGTTTGAAAACGCTATTATATTTACTCCGCGCCATTTAGTTGTCTTTCAGGTAAAAATTTACTTTAAGTTTATACTAAACAAGATTAGTAGTGTTTTATGTAACACGAAATTACAAAAGTTTAAACCAGGATTCAAAATGATTAAATTGCTGTGCATTATTCAAAATAAATTATGATTAAATTGCTAAGTTTAAAGATTTATTGGTATTAAGATAAAAAAAAAGTTACCTTTGTTTTGAAATGTTACAATTATTATACTGTTTCGTATTTATAAAAAAAAAAAAACTAAAAAAGAGTATATAAATGAGAAAAAAAAACAACAAGAATATTTCCACATTTATTAAATAATATATATAACGATTTTTAAATTAAAAGTGATTTATAACTATTTTAAACGCTTTTATTTCCTGGAATGAAAAAATTTGAAAAAGAATTTTTATTTAGAGTTATCTTAGTTTTGGAGAACAGTTAATTACTTTAAAATTCAGTATTTTATATGTTACACTTACTGAAGAAGCATAATAAATATGGACTCGGACACCTGATGATGCCAAGAAAAACGTGTGGTAAAAAGTCTTGTTCGGCGTACTATTTCAACAAAAGATGTGATTAAAATTCTCAACTAAATAGAATGATTATTAGTAAAGAAGTGCTTTTTGATTACTGTATAATCAAGCGCTTGGTCCTATTCTTTTAAAAACATCGCAGCAACCCTAAATTTTTATTATAGCCTAGTCACACAATGCTTACACAGCCAGATTAACGATAAGTATACAAGATATTATTAGTGCCATAAAGTATGTATCCAGAAAACAAAAATTTAGACTTATAACAAATTTTCAAATACTGCTCATGTTTTCGTAAAAAAACGAAAATCGATTATCATATATACTATATATTAAATAACAAAAATAAGCAAGATTTTATACAAATATATATACTACATAACTACATTGGTTCAGGCTCAAAGGGAATGGTTAGTTGACCACGATCTGGATTTTGCAGTTTGAATATCCTGACGTTGTGACTGCTAGTAACGTTGCTAATGAAAAAAGAATTAGATCATTATCATTATCATCATCATTATCATCATCATCATCATCATCATCATCATCATCATCATCATCATCATCATCATCATCATCATCATCATCATCATCATCATCATCATCATCATCATCATCATCATCATCATCATCATCATCGTCATCATCATCATCATCATCATCATCATCATCATCATCATCATCATCATCATCATCTTTGTTGTCGTCGTCATCATTAAATTATATCAAATCATCATAATTTATTAATACCACATACATAATTGTTTTGTTTTTTAAAAAGTGCAATAAAAAATTTGTTTTACATAATCATTGTAATATTTATGAAGCATAAGAGTATGATTAGAAATTCTCGAGAATCAAGCGAATATTTATTCTAAGAATATTATTATATTTGGTTTTACATAGAAATTATTAGAAATTTGTATTTAAGAAAACTAATGATAGAAATACAGTAAAAACAGCAGAGACAAAAACCTTTATTGTAGAAAAGTATTCGTGGAATACTTTTGACAACAAATATACTCATGATTCATTCAGAACTGATTTAAACTTTTTTTTTCTTGTTTTTTTTCTTACTTACTCTGATTCACCCTATAATCATACTTTTAACCTTAAGACTGATTTGGATTCCTTTTGTATTTCTTTGTGATAGTCTGATTGATATTTCTTTGTGATGGGCTGATTCCTTTACTTTCACGTAGGATGAAACGCAAATATATCTTGTACACCAGATTATTTAGTACATGGAGCTTTTCAATAAGACAATTAGATTATATTAATTAGAATTGTTAGAATAATTAGGATAATTAGAATAATTAGAGCTGCTATTTTTGATACAATGACACATTACATAACTATAGAATGATTTTAATTTTTAAGTAATAAAAGTTTACTATTTACATTTATTTATAATTGCAATTAATAAATCTTGGTAAATAAAGTAGCTAATAAAGATACAAAAAATGGTAAAAAAGGTAACTGGTGAAAAAAAAATTTATCATCAAACTTGAGTATTGTGTGACAGTGATGAGTAAAATAAAACAAAACAAGTTTATAACTAAACTGGCTTATGAGTAAAAGTATTTTAACTGTCTGTATAAAAGTAACTTTAAGTAAACAGTGAACTGGTTGGATCCATTGAACTGGTTGAAACCATTGAACTTGTATACAGCCTAGTAAATCTTTTCAAGTTTTCATTAATCCAGAAATAAAAGGTAAAAGATCAACTTATATAAAGGAGATCATAGCACTGAAGGTTATACTTTTTCACAACACTTGTTAGGACACTTAAACAACTTGAATTAATTCTACAAGAAATATTGGAAAAAACACTTTCACTATTTCTTAGGAAAATACTCAACTGAAAAATCAATTGTACCTAGCCTAATCAATTTTCGACTGAAAAAAATGGAGTGTACAATTACTCGATTTTACTGCAGTAAGAAATTTTTATCATAAATAAACAGAAAGTTAGTAATAACAATTTTATCGAGAAAGGGTTTAAAGGTAAACCATGTAATTCTTGATAATAAGATATGTGTCCATATCATAAAAAATAACCTGTCCTACACATGAATACACTTTATTTAGAATATTTAATACAAACCTCATGTCTTGAGGAGTTAACAAAATAAACTGCCTCTCTGGTGTTTCTTTAGCTAATTTTAATAACATATTCATAGAAATTCGTCGATTAAGCATGTCCTAGAAAAAACCAACATTTCAATAACTCTTGAAAAAATATTAACTAATAAATACAAAATTTATTCCTTTTTTCCATTTAGATTAAATACTAAAATTATTAAAATAAAAAAAATAAATTACCATGAATACGTCGAATTCATCTAAACATCGAAATGGAGCTTCCATTGCCTCCCATAAAGCCATAATGAAGCAAATTGTCGAGAAAGAACGTTCACCTCCTGATAAAGATTTTGAATCATTTGTGGAAGCACCAGCTGCGTTTTCCACATTCACCTTAGAAATATTTAAGTTTGTATGAAAATTGAATGATTTTTTGAAATAATTAAAAAAGAAAAAAAATTATTTACTTACTTGAATAGTAAGGGTCTTTTCTTCGTGGTTTAATGTTAACTTTCCAGAATAACCTCTTTGAGAAAGTAGCATTAGAAAATTATACCTGGCGCGATCAGTTATATACTTTTGGAACTTGAAAAACCTCTCACTGCGCCTCTTTAAAGCTTTCTCAATCAACTATTAAAAAAATTGAAACATAATTAATCATATAACAATATCTCTATCAAATATTTCTCTTTACTTTCAAAAAAAAAAAAAAAAGTTTATATCGCCCATATGCCCACAAAGACGTTTGAAAGTGCATAAAAAAATGCTGGCCAAAAAAAATTATTTAGAATATAAATAAAAATATTATTTTACCGGTTTTATTATATAATTTTAAGAATTTTTATTTTAAGCATCCTTTTAGCTGTTTTTGTTTTAATTTAATTAGCAAGAAAAGATTTTTGAAATTGTGCACGCCAGCCTATGACCATCCGGCCGCCATCTGACCAGACTATGCCATCATCACCTATGACCAGCCGGCGATTGCTTTTTTGTGCACTGGAATTAAATTTTAAACAGAAAAAACTGGTATACATTTGGCATACAAACTGGTATACCGGCACGAAATTGATATTTTCATCCATCCAGGAAATGGCTTCTTTAGACCTATGAGCACAAGCTAAATCTGGCCAAAAAATGTAATTTAGGTCTTAATGATACTTATCGATGAATGTTATAAGTTGTTCCTCCAAGCATTCTTTGATATAAATGCTTGATTTTATTGAAGCCAATGTTGTTGACCAAAAGAGTGGTTTCGACATTCCACGCTCATATAGTGCTATCCAAACAAGTTTTTTTGAAATTTTTCTTTTCCCACAAAACGAACATTATCTGGACATTTGTCTTTGTCGTCTTTGTAACATCCGGCGTTTCCAGGCATTTTATCGCCGCTAAAACAAAAGTATTTTTTGTTGTCTAAAATTAAAACATCCTGTTCTTTATAGAGGTGATTTACAAGTTTTCAGCTACTTTTTGGTGCCCTTAGACGCTGTCCATCATTGTATTTGGGTGTTTTTTCACGTTTGCATTACTTTATGTTTATTTTGGTAAATTGTGTAAAAATTGTCTTTTGATTTTGAATTTTGAATTTACGTTGAATTTACATGCAAGGTTTCTTTGACTTACACCTTTTCGATTGTTGGTCAACCTGCAAAGTTTTGCTTTTTTTTCCCGAGTCCACGATGATGGGCCTCCAGAACTTTTTGTAACTTTTAAACACTGCCCTGTAAGGTGTCGATTGATATAATTATATGCTGTTTTGCAACAGATTCCTTCTTTAATAAGATGGTTAGCAGTTTCAGCTTTGGTAGCTTTTGAATTTTTTACAAAATACTGTTCTTTATTTGCCGTTTAACATTTTTTTGAATAATTTTTTTAAATAAAACTAGAATATTTAAAAATATAAATTACATTTGAATGCAAAAATATAATACTATGGATTTCAAGCAAAACTTAGTTAACTTTTGTGTAACTAATTTATAATATATCAGAGGTTTACGCTGGATTTTAAAATGTTTGAGTTTTGACATTTACAGCCATAGTGCAGATTCCAAACCTTTGCAGTTATTGGAGCTTGGGAACATAAAAAAATTTTATGGGTTCACCTAGCCCTTAACATGGGAGCAACGAGTTTATAAAATATTTTCTTTACTATTTTTATTTAAATTTATATTCATCAACAAATTTCAGGTTTCATGCAAGAATCTCTTAGTGTTCAGTTTTTATGACCCTGCAAGGTTTACAGCCCCTCAAATTGAGGGGGGTTAAAACTTTATATGGTCATAGACATTATTGCATGAAATTTGAAATATGTTGATGAATAAAAATTTAGATAAAAATAGTAAAAAAAATGTTTTATAAACTCGTTCCTCCACATTAAGGGGTGGGTGGGCCTAAAAATTACGGATTTTTTGTTCCCAAGCCCTAAATCACTGTAATTTTTTGCAAAGCATTCTTATTTGACATAAGCATGAATATCTAAAAAAAAAATATCTAAAAATCCAGTGTACAACTCTGATATACATACAGTATTGGCCATAAATAACAATTCATCATGCTATTTTAGTTATGAATTTAAGTTTGAAATTAAATAATTTATAAACTAAAAGTAATTATTTTTTAAGTTTTTTTTTTTTATTATTGAAATAAACCAAATAACCACAAAATAAATTTATTATCAAGTAATAAAAATTAATAAAATTAAAAACTAAAATATTGAAATTATAACAAGTGTTCATTTGTATCAAAAAAAAAAAAGTGGTCAAAATAAACTAACCACAAAAATTAACAAACCTTAATAAAAAAATAGTTACAAAACATAAAAAAAAAAAGAATTAATATTTTGTTTTTAAGCATTTATTGGTATGATTCAGCATGGAGTTCACTAAGTTCTGAGTAATCTCTTTTGAAACACTATTCAGTAATTTTGTTACTAATTCTTTCAGCTGGTCCAGATCATTTTATTTCAATTTTACCAAGGTTGTGGCTTAACCCAGACCACAAATTCTGTATGTAATTGAGATCTGGACTATTGGCAGGTCAAGATATGGTTTTAATTTTGAACTTCTTCAAACCATGTAGCAGTATTTTTTGGAAAGATTCCCATGTCTTTTGGGAAAATGTCAATAGAAGACATCAAATAATTATCCGATATGTCTAAATTTCTTAGAGAATCAAGCCTTCCATCAAATATTTTGAAACAACTGACACCTTCATAGTTCATGCAGACCCAGATGCCTATACTACCACTACCATGTTTTGTTCTATTCATAGAACAATTTAAGTCCATTTTGTAATGTGGCTTTTTTCTTAGCATTACTTTGTTTGTTTTTTTATCAACTTTAACATGTGTTGTGTTGAAATGTTTTGCAGTTTCTCTCATTAAGATGTTTTATTCATACATTACTATGATTTTACATTTTGTTATATTATCAATAATTTTATATTATCAATAATTCAATTTGATTGTTTTGTTGCTGAAATATTGTAATTAATTAAGTACTTATTTTTCTACTTACTTTTATGCAAATTTTTCAAATATTTATAAAAATTTATATAAAAATTCTTAAATAACTATAATTAGTTTACAAATAAGCAAAAAAGTTTAATCAAAATAAAATTTAGAAGGAGGTTTAAAATAATACAGTGGATTGCTAATTTTGGCCATAACAATTATTTTAGATTATGAGATATATGTCATAAAAAAGCAATATAATTAGCATATCAAATAATATTTTTATGAAAACTTCTATATTTTTTTGAAAGAAAATAGAATGTTTATTAATATACATTTTTTATATTTATAAAGAGCCAAACAATCATTGATTTAATATCAATCAAAATCCAATGATATCAAAAAAAAAAACATTCTGGATTGTTATTAATACTGTGTGTATATATATATATATATATATATATATATATATATATATATATATATATATATATATATATATATATATATATATATATATATATATATATATATATATATATATATATATATGTGTGTGTCTGTGTGTGTGTGTGTGTATATATATATATATATATATATATATATATATATCAACATTCTAGAAGCTATGAGTATTTTGGTCGAGTCATGGGATGCTATATCAACAAACACTGTAATAAATTGTTTTAGAAAGACAGGTATCTCACAGGAAATACAGGTTGCAAGTATAAATGGAAGATGTTTCTTTAGAATTTCATGAAGAGAACGCCAATGAGCTTAGATTACATGGTTTAGTAGACAAAGATTTTGCTGTTGAATATTACAAAAACATAAACTTTGATATTTGTACAAGTGAAGCAAGATCTGTGATAGCAGACAGATCAAGAAATTCTAGATTCCATTTTAATCAATAATTGTGCTGACTTAGATAATGGGATAGATAAAGAGTCAAGCAAGTTGCCTCCCAAAAAACCAAAATTATTAGAGATTGCACATGCAATAGAATTAATTAAATATTGGTCTCTTTTGAAAAATAACAACATCCAACAATCGCCAAGTCCGGTAACAAAGATGTTTGATTACCATTCTTTAGAAGCAAAAAAGCTTTTTTCAAAAAATTGTAAAGATTTTATTTTTTTATTTTAAATTTGTTTATTTAGAAGAACTTTAGAAGGAGTTTAGACTTTAACAGCATCTTATTCCAGAGTTTTTCTTTTTTTTTCTCTCTACTTCTGTTAAAATTTTATTGTAACTTGAAATAGATCACTTTAAAAAAGAGTTTCAGTTATTCGAACTTTCGGTTATTCAAAATAAATCCTTGTTCCCCTTGGAGGTTTGAATAACCAGGAGTTTACTGTATATATATATATATATATATATATATATATATATATATATATATATATATATATATATATATATATATATATAGTATATATATATATATATATATATATATATATATATATATATATATATATATATATATATATATATATATATATCCTTATAGTGTAGTCGAAAGAGACTTTTATGGTAAAAAAAGTCTTTTTCAACTACAATTTTTTTACCTCGTCTCTTAAGCTGCATTTTATTGTCGTCTAAATGTCAAAGCAATTATTAATTAATGCGGATGTACATTAAATTTTATTGTTTTTTAAAAAAAGCAATAATAATGACTAGAAAGTTTTTTTTAATTAGTGGTGTTTTTGTTTTTGTTTTATTAAAAACATTTTTAAAACATGCATAAGTGTTGCTACATCAACTATCTTATAGCCTGCTGCTACAAGGGAGTGTTGCTACATCGTCTATCTTATAGCCTGACTTGCAACGGAGTGCTGCTACATCAACTGACAAATAGCCTGACTCGCAAGGGAGTGCTGCTACATCGACTGACAAATAGCCTGACTCGCAAGGGATTGCTGCTACATCGACTGAGAGTTTAGTTTGGGCAGGCAGTCTATCATTTAAAAAAAAAAAAATTTTTTGTGAAATTTTTCAAAATTTTCTGGTCAGGCTTATTAACATAAAACAACAGTTTATGGGAAAAACTTTGTGACTACCATGCAAGACTATATATATATATATATATATATATATATATATATATATATATATATATATATATATATATATATATATATATATATATATATATATATATATATATATATATATATATATATCATATAAAGCTTAAACATTAATTATATTATAAATAAATAAAATACAATGGCTGTTAGTTAAATGAAATCAAGATAATTCTCTAACACAAAGATTTTTCACTAAGCTAATTTTTTTCAAATAAAATTTAAACAAACAACTAAAAAAACAATTGAAAAAAAAAACCTTTCTGAAGTTGATGTGTTGTTCTATCAAATTTTTTGTGTTGTTGTATGTTGTAAGTGCATTTTGATATTTTTCTGTGATTTCACGTGCACTGCCACGACTACAAACAATGTAAAAAATAATCAAACATCAAATTATTTGGATGTACAAGATATAAAAGAACATAACAAGATAAAGAGATGTAGGTTAGTAAAAGCTATTAATACTTTGTTTCTTCGTGTTGAATTCTCCTCTGAAAACGAATAATTTCACTCTCTAAACTTTCGACTTTTCTTTTAGATTTTATTTCTTCACAATATTGTAAAGCTTGCTGTTGTGATGTCTAAAAAGTAATTATAAACATGCACAGAAGTATGTATATATATATTTTATTTAATTCATCATTTGATGTAGTATTGTATTAAAATAATACAAAACTCTTGTTCATTGAAAAGTGCTTAATATTTATATTAATTTTATATAAATTTCAAAATAGAGCGGTTTATAATTAAAAACGAAAATTATTGAAATTTAAGTTTCATGTCTAACGGCAATTATCAGCCATAAATACAAAGTTAAAAATTTAACGTTAAAATTACAATTAGAATTACGGTGACGTGAGTTCTAATGATTCCATGGAAACAAAATTTTAAAAGTTTTGAAAATATAACATGACGTGAAATATATATATATATATATATATATATATATATATATATATATATATATATATATATATATATATATATATATATATATATATATATATATATATATATATATATATATATATATATATATATATATATATATATATATATACAGTACCTACTCAAATTATAAGACTCAAGTTTTTTGGATTTTCTTTGATAGGTAGGGATTAATGATGTTTAATTTTTGTTGTTTATGTGCAGTTTAACTTCCTGTCATTCATTTTTTGTTTTTAATTAGCAAAAGTTATAAAATATATATAATTTTAAAAAATATTTTCAACTTTATAAAAGTTATGGTAAGTTTAAATTATGTAAAATTAAAAACTTAATTTTACATAATTTAACAGTCATAACTGTCATAACTCAATTTATATTTCTTCTTTAGGGACCTACATTATTTTAGATTGTCTTTACAATTTTAATAATAAAATTTCAGTTGTTTTTAATTTGTTTTTTTTAATTTTGCAATCAAATAATAACTTAATTAATGTTGGAGTTATTTTAGGATTAATATTAGATAAATCTTGTGATGTTTCCTCAGTAAATATGCAAAAGTAACTGTCCTTCTGCAAGAAACAAGTTACATCCAAAGAAATATTAGATAGAGAAAGAAATAAGTTGTCAAAATTATCATGGCTACAGTCAGAGGAACAAATTCTAAACTTAAAATGGGGGTCAAATTAGAAGCGCAGAAAACAGAGTCCAGTGGCAGAACAAGAGTTACAAGTGCTAGAGACCACAGAAAAATAAAAAAAGCTATTGAACGAAATTGTAAGATACCATCAATAAAACTAAAAATTGTTTTAAAAGACCAAGGAATAAAAAAATTCACTTGAATCTTTAAGAAGGAGAAGTTATGAGTTCGGATATAAGTGTAGAAAGCCACTGAAGAAGCCGTAACTTATGCCTACAATGATAAAAAAACGTCTTGCATGGGCTAAGAAGCACTCTTCTTTTTTTCAAAATGACTAGAATAAGGTAAATTTTCCATTAGTTTTCTCCTGAAACATAAGCAATTAATATTTTAATATTACAAGTTTTTAGAAGATGTTTTTGCATTAATATCTTATCTCAATTCATTTTGTTAATATTTGAAATATTTAAAACATCAATATTTATTGCTTTAGTCAGTTTGTATACAGCAATGGTTCTACCTTTGAGACTTTTTTAAAAAAAAAAGCCACATTCGTCTGTTGCAGATCAAAAGAACAACAAAGCCAAAAAGTACTGTAAACGCTATAAAGCACCCAGGGTTTATAATGGTTTAGTCATGCATATCGAGCAGGGGTATCAGTCAAAGTCTTTACATTGTACATGAGATGATGAAACAAGATAGTCTGTCTGACAGACTAGTTTGATTCAACAGATACAAGAGTGGTTTCCTAATGGTAAAAAAAGTAGTTTTCATGCAAAATCGTGCTCTTTGCTGTACTTCAAAATCCATAAAGACCTTTCTCACTAATAAGAGTATTGCGCTACTTGATTGGCCTGGCAATTCTCCAAATATGAACCCTATTGTAAATCTGTGGGTTCTTGTAATGCGCAAAGTGATGACTTTGCATTTAACAAGTAATAAGAAACTCACAAAACGATTAATCAAAGTATGGCATTGAGATCCAGATATTAAAGGATTGACCTCAAATTGAGTAAATAGTATGCCAAGCTCTTTCAAAAGAAGTCAAAAGGAACCATCACCAAGTTTTAAGTTTCATAATGTGCTTTTTATTTATCAATATATAGATTATATATAAAAAAATAAGTTGTGATTGCTTTTAGTGAGTTTTACACACACCAAAAAGACAAAAAGTTAAAAATTGAGTTTGAGTCTAATAATTTGAGTAGGTACTGTATATATATATATATATATAATATATATATATATATATATATATATATATATATATATATATATATATATATATATATATATATATATATATATATATATATCCTTATAGTGTAGCCGAAAGAGACTTTTATGGTACAAAAAGTCTCTTTCGACAACAATTTTTTTACCTTGTCTTTTTTAAATTTATTATGGCTATTTCTTATTTATAATTAATCAGTAAAAATATAAGAAAATGTGTTTGTTATACAATTTTTGATTATTTACTTACGCAGGTATTAATTTTTATGGTTTGAATGTTTATGGTTTTTTTAATTTATAATGTATGAATTTTATTATTAAATTTATATTTCTAGAATATTTTTAGCAATTAATAACATTTTTGATAAAAAAAAGTCATTAAAAACTCTGTTCATTGAACATTATGGCACCCAAAGTTAAATATCTAAATACTACTCAACAAAAACTTGTTATAGACTTGGTTAAACAAAGAAATACTTATAGAAAAGTTAAAGAATTTACAAATATTCCATTTACAAAAGTTGGAGCCATTGTAAATAAATACAAACAATATGAAATGCTTGAAATTCATACTGGGCAAGGACGAAAACTGAAGACAACCTCACGAGATGATAGAGAAATTTTAAGAATGATTAAAAAAATTGGTTTTAAGTGCAAAAAATATAGCAAATCATTTGAAAAACAGGAAACACAATTTCACTAACATCAATTAGAAATCGCATTCATAAAGTAGGGTTTAGTGGATGTATAGCTCGGAAAAAATCGTTTTTAACAAAAAATCATATGAAGAGAAGAATGAATTTTGAAAAAAAGTACTTTTTAATGCTAGCATCATTTTGGAAAAAAGTACTTTGGTCTGATGAATCCAAGTTTAATTTTAAAAAATCTGATGGTGCACAGAGAGTTTGGCGAAAGAGGGGTGAAGTATTTAATTTGAGTTACATGAGAGGAAGAGTTAAACATGGTGGTGGAAGTGTAATTTATGGGGTTGTATGGGATGGAATGGCGTTGGTAAACCAGAATTTATTGATGAAACTATGAATGCTGATTTGGATAACAATATACTGAAACAAAATTTAAAATCTTCTGCTAAAAGACTTATATTGGGAAACAGTTTTTTGTTTCAACAAGACAATAATCCAAAACATAATGCTTAAAAAACTAAAACCTTTATTGATTAAAATGGCATAAACGTTTTAGAAGTTTTTAGAATTAAACTTCACAGAGCCCAGATTTGAATCCAATAGTGCATTTATGGACTTTATTTGATAAAATAGGTAATAGAACATTTACGAAAAAAGATTTAAAGAAAGCTGTTGTTAAATCATGGTCTTAAATTGACAATATTTTCAATTTTATTGAAAAATGACTTTGTATATATATATATATATATATATATATATATATATATATATATATATATATATATATATATATATATATATATATATATATATATATATATATATATATATATATATATATATATATATATATATATATATATATATATATATATATATATATATATATATATATATATATATATATATATATATATATATATATATATATATATATATATATATATATATATATATATATATATATATATTGAAATGTCACTGATGACACATTTTTATATATATAAAATGGTTTTTCACTATTTTTTGAAAAAATTTAAATTTAAAATCATCACCTCATATTCACTTTTTAATGAATTATGCCTGACTAATAACTCATCAATTACAGTCATCAATTCTTTGTATTTGTTTTCATAATATTTTTTGTTGCTTGCCAAATGAAGAATTTCAGCTTCACAATTGTTGACATCATTCTATAAAAAAAAAAAAAATTAAACGATAACCATTATTGTTAACAATATTCTTCAATAAAATCTACTTTATTAGGATGTAGGACAATATTATAAATAAAAGTATTATAAATAAAAATATTTTAAATAAAACAATTTTAAATAAAATAATATTAAATAATAAAATAATAATAATATTAAATATTAAAAATTAAAATAAATATAATAAATAAAAAACCTGATGAGCCTCAAGTTTTAAAGTTGCAGCTTGACACTGCTCTGCATTTTTTTTCATTAACTCATTATGATTAGAATATGCAAGACTTTTTTCTTCAAATATTTCTTTGGCTTCAATAAGCTAAAAACAAACAAAATATTTATTTGAATTCAATAAGCTGAAAAAAAAACAAGAAATTTCACATAATATTTAAACTTAGAATAAACAAAAAGCTTACTTTTTGCTTAAAAACAACTAAACTATTATCACACTCTGTTAGATCGTTGACCTAAAGAAAATGAAGTTAGATTGACCTAAAGAATTTTCATGCAGAACAAAACTTTACATAATGAGCAACTCTTCATTAAAAGAAACTTAAGTTAAAAATATTTGCTTAAATGATAAAATATTTTGAAAATATTAAGAATAAATTAAAGTTTTGAAGTTTTTAAATATTTTAAATATTATTAAAAAAAAACCAGCTCTGCAGCATCAGGAATTTTTTCCACTTCAACAGCTTCGATTTCTTGTATCTCCTAAAATGTGTATTTTAAATAAAAATGAAGACAGATACATCAACAACAAATAAATATATTGCAACAGATACATCAAGTATATTGCACAATATAAAACAAAATATTATAACACAAAAGTACCATTGCTGTGTTATTTAGTAGATCTTGTTCTTGTTGGACTTTACGACGCATTTTATCAAGTTCAACCTGAAACCAAAGTACAATAATAAAAAGCTGAAAAAAAAACAAAAACAAAAAAACAAACTATTATTAAAAGATTTTGATTTGAGATTACTTTCCAGAAAGTACTAAACTCAACTATATTTATAGAACAGTCCATTTAAAGAATTTTAAAGACCCACCCAGCCATTCACCCGTCCAAGTACTTTTGAGTTATTGTACTTTCTCAAAAGTAACATTGGGTCAGTAAGAATTAGAAACTAATAATTCAAGAAATATAAACTATGTTTTCGAAAAAAATTCTTTATCCAATATTAATTGTTATTGATTTTTTTTAAAAAGAACATACAATTGTAAAAAAAAAAAAACCTGATCTTTTTGCATTTCATTAGTACACATTTGAACTTGGTCATTTAATGTTTTTAAAGATTGCTGAGCTGAAAGCAGCTCTAGTTCAGCATCCCTAAGCAAATAAAGTAGTTTTGAACAAAATTTGAATTAATTATAAAAATTAGAAATATTAAATTCAAATTAGATTATTATAGAAATATTAAGAAAAAAAACCTCATTAATTGAGCAATATCTGTTTGAAAGTATGTTGCATGTTTACGGCTGTTAGGATAAAACTTTGACATTCTCCCACCAATTATTTCAGCTCCTGCTATACTTAATGCCTTTAATAGAAAAAAAGAAAGAAATTATTACACCTAAATCTGCGCTTGATGATTATGCACTAGGTATTAAACACTTTATAATATTATAACACAGCAGTGCAGGATGTAGCTATTTTTGTTATAAATAAAGGTCCTGCACTAGACAGAACACAGAATCTGCTACTACTATTTCATATTTTTTTTATATATTCAAGGGAATATACCCAAGGGAGTATTACCAAGGGGGTATAGAAACCCATCTTATCAAGTACAATACATATATATATATATATATATATATATACACAAAAAAACTGTTAAAAATAAAACAAAAGCAAAAACAAATCAATGCAATAGTTTCTTTAGATGCAAATATAGAAACATTGGAAGTGGTGAGGTAAGTGGTGAGGTAACCTCTGTTATCTTCATTCAGACTGCCATCTGAAGGAGAACATTCATGACATTGTATTTCAAGTGCCTCTTGCTTTCCCTATAAAATTATTAACCTCTATTTTTCGAGTATTTTTATTGTTCCATGCAAAATAATCATGACAATTTTTTGAATTTTACGCTATTGTTGAATTTTCCCATTTTCCTTTGTATGTATTTTTTTCATGTTAGTAAATATGAGGTGAGATTTCTAATTGTGTACACACCTGGATAAGAATTTATTAGAAGAGAAGATTTACTTTCTTATTTATATAAAATATGAAAACTTTTCTTTTCTAAAGATAAATATAAAATTTAACTCTCAAGAGTGTTTTACAAAAAAAAAAAAAAAAAAAAAAAAAAAAATTTAGTGCTGTAAATCTATTCTAAAACAGTAGATTCTTTCCATTATAGGTTAAATTAACAAAAGATACTGTCCATTATTGCTTGACTAAAAATCAAAACAAACTTTTTCAATTTAATATATAATTCTAAGCATAATATTTTATTTTTAAAAATAAACGATATTTAATTTGTAGGTTTGTGGCTTGACCAGTCGAACTAAACCTCAGTTGGCTAGGGTGTAAATTGAAATATTAAAACAGGACTGTTTACAATACAAGTTCATATCCAGCCACTGCCATCTTTGGCATTGCATAGAAAAATACAGCATAAAATTCAAATAAAATAAACAGCAACAACAAAATATAATCAAAGAACTAAACAAAGTCAAATGTTTTAATAGTACTCTAATAAAATAGACTATAAAAAGTTATTTTTTAGATGCATGCTTGCTGTCAATTAAGCAGCAAGCATGCATCTCAAAAATTCTTTTTGATATTCTAGATGACCACTTGATTTTTTATAGCATTGCTAATGAGTACTGAATTTTTAATGGATTGTCTATAAAAAGATCCTGTAAAAAACCTTCTCAGACTACAACAGGAAACACAAAGATCTAATGAAACAGTTTAAAATAAAACAGACTACAGTCAAGGAGACTATTTAAAAAAAATATTATTGCTACAACCCTCTCTCAACTCTTTAACTTCAAAACACAAACCTTAAAAAATAAGACCACTGAACAGAGAAAAAAGTTGTCATGATGGGAATCGAACTCAGAACTTTTCGCTTATGAAACTAACACTTTTTTACACCTTAAAAGTCATTTACAAATTTTTACACCATTTTGGAATCATTGCTAACTTGCACAGCAAAGCCATGTTTGTCAACAGTTTCAGTAAAAAAAGTTTTATAAGTGTTTAAAAGATAATAACACATAATGTATATATTATAAAATAACAACTAATAACTTTTATAAAAAAAATTAGAAATTTTATGTGTAACACTTAAAATATGAACTTTTTGTTGCATTAAATATAAAACAAACCTTATTAACATTGCGAATTTTATTATTCCATATTACATCTCTTGCTTCTTTTGGGTCAGCAATTAGTATGATTGATTCAATCCCACACTATAAAGTTAAAAAAAGTAAAAAACTAAAGTAAATAATTTAAAAAAACTTTTTTTTTCTAATTTTCTTTATTTTAAAATTTAATGAAATGTCAGACTACTAAGGGAAAAATAAAAAATAAAAATTGTAGAAAAGAGAGGTTTATACTCTAATTACTTACCTATAAGTATTTCTAAACATTGAGATCTAACAGATAATATTACATTTTGCTTTTTCATATTTTTCAAATATACATATATGTTTTTCAAACATTACCAATAAATGTTTAATTTTTAATTAATATAGTCGTGCAAAATAAACTATGCAGTAAAAATAAGAAAATCAAAATGTTTACATTTACCCACCTACTATATTATGCTATTTATTTGATCCTGTACTTTGCATGTGTACTTTATGCATGTGTACTTTATGTATGAGACTCAGTATTAAATATGAGCATTCAAAGCCAAATATTTATCTATTATAAAAATCTTGTTGAAAATTTACTTGTGAACTGAATAGGAAATACATGCAATCTGAAGGCATAAAGAATATGAATTTTAAAATTTTATTAAACCAAATGGTTTGCTAAGCACATCATCTACTGTTACTAGGCACATCATCTTCAGTTGGTGGATTGATAATTCTTTATATTTTTTACAGTAGGTGGACTGATAATTCTTTATACTATTTACAGTTGGTGGACTGATAATTCTTTACTTTTATAAGCAAGAAAATCATAGCAAGATCATAGTTATCCTGCTAGTCAAATTTGCTGGGTGGGTACTGAACTAGGCAACCTGCTTGGTGGGTTTAAACAAAAAAAAAAAACTCTTTTTAAGTACTTAATGGAGGAAATATGCCCTCGTTCAATAATGACTTGAACTACATTGGAAGCAACCACCTTTGAGCGTGACTTGGAAATTCTAATTACCAATGACCTTAAAGAAGAAACCCAATCCATCATTGCCTCATGTAAAGCAAACAAAATGCTCATCCAAAAATACAAAATTGCTAATAACATTGACATAATCAACTGGCACTTTCCCCTCATCACAATTCCACCAAGAGCAAATCACAGAGAAAGACTTCATCGTGAAAAGTATAGTAGCCATTTAGCTTGCTTCCACTTTTTTAACAATCGCATTGTCAATGCATGGAACATGCTACCAGATAAAGTAATCAATTCTCAAACTGTCAACAGTTTTAAAGCAAGCCTCGACAAGCTCTAATGTTACTCCAGTTCGCAGCTTTCCTTAGTGAAAATTGCAATGTGAGCTTCACAAAAACTAACTGTAATCTGACAATCTATGATTTGTATTTTGTCAAATATTTTTACTTTTGTTGTAAAAAATACATACTACTACTACTAAAATATATACACATATTTTTTACACAAAAAAATAATTTATAAACTATTTAAGAAATGTTGAAATATCAGAGCTTATCAAGACAAGGTTCATATCTTATCGCTGTACTGTTTGTATGCCAAATAAGCAGAACCAAGACTTAAAAAATAGAAAAGAAGCTATGATTATGTTGCTAAAAGATTTCTAAAAATTCTGAAGCAACAATTCTAACCAACTTAGTACACAGGAAAACATTAAAAGAAAAAGTTAGTTTTACTCTTCACTAATAACTTAAAATCTCATACAAATACATGGTGAGGAGTTTTTTTATAAGCTCAATCATACACTCGTTTTCTGTTGATTGATAGTACTGCATTTTGGTGATAAGAACAAACACAAATAGAATGTGCATCAGTTGCACCTGGTAAACTTTTGTCTAAATATAGTATACTTTTGGTATACTGGTATACTTTTGTCTAAATTTGGTATACTGGTATACTTTTGTCTAAATAAAGCAAATTTTGATAAGCTTATTTGAATATCTGGATTATTTTATTTATATAACACTTGACATTTTTTTTAAATTATGCAAAATCAATTTTTTTTTTAATTATGATTTTTTTTTTTTTTTGATGACTATGTATATTTAGATAAAAGTTTTCCTATTATATAATTGAAAAATAGCTAAGAATTCCTTTTTCTTAAAAATTAGCCATCTTTGCTTGGTTTTCTGTAAAATTGTTTTCTAATTCTAATATAAATCAATGCGGAAGTGTAAAATGATGAACAATAGTGATTTAGTCAGAACATAGAAATTTCTCTTTTACCATAATTTTATCAGAGTTTTTATCAGGCCCATATTTTCATCAGTGTTTATATTTTCATCAGTGTTTATATTTTCATCAGTGTTTATATTTTCATCAGTGTTTATATTTTCATCAGTGTTTATATTTTCATCAGTGTTTATATTTTCATCAGTGTTTATATTTTCATCAGTGTTTATATTTTCATCAGTGTTTATATTTTCATCAGTGTTTATATTTTCATCAGTGTTTATATTTTCATCAGTGTTTATATTTTCATCAGTGTTTATATTTTCATCAGTGTTTATATTTTCATCAGTGTTTATATTTTCATCAGTGTTTATATTTTCATCAGTGTTTTTACCAAGGCCATTATTTCATCAGTTTTCAGCTCACTTATTAATGCTATTTGCTTCATTACATATTTTTTATTGACAGAACATTATCATGAGTTTCGATTTTTCTAATTAGTTCTTAACTGTTTCATTGATATTCAACTTTTTGTTTTCCATCTGCTTTAAAGGTTTTAGGGATTTTAAAGGATTTTTGTTAACCTTCTTTGAATGGTGATATTTCAAAATCTTTATCTCATTCACCTTTACTCTTTTTTTGTAAGATTTTTTCTTTTTGACAATCTTTGTTTGCAAAGTTAGCAGAGTTTATTTCTAGGGGCAATATATTCAACTACTTCTATATTTAATATATTTAGTTTATTTAACTACTTCTAAATAATAAATATAATATAAAAGGCAATATATTCAACTACTTCTAAAAAAACCTAGTGACTTATGAAACCCATGAGAACTCATGATTTAAAAATTTCTAAATTTTGGGTGATTTGATATAGATTTACTTCTAAACTATATAAATATTATGTTAAAGAAATCGAACCAGATTTGATATAGAGTTACCCCTAAATTATATAAATTACATAAATTACATAAAGTCAAAGAAATCGAACCAGATTTAACAACAAATAAATAAGTTGTTAGGTTAAGTGTGTAATTATTGTATATAGACAGACCCAGCATGTTGTTTTTTTTATGTAAGTTTAACCAAGCATGGCCATATTGGATGTAGTTAGACCAAGCATTTCATTATTGGATATACTTGGAGAAGCATATGATTATTGGAGATACTCAGACCAAGCATATGATTATTGGATATACTCAGGTGTAGCATGTAATTATTAGAATGTTTAAAAAAATTATACTTTGTGTTAAATTTTATCTTTGTAAGTATTTTCCTTTGAAATTATAAATTCTAAAAACAATTTATAAGAAAATAACTATCAACAATTTGTGCAACAATAACAATGATACTATTATCATTGTAAAAAGGAGGAAAGTAAATAAACTTAAAAATTAGCAAGATAAAATAAAATTAATATCAAACCTACTGATAACTTTAAATTTTCCACTAATTCAAACCTGATCAATAAATGTGTTTGCAACAAAACTGTTTTCAAACTCCAGTAATTATACCTGATCAATAAAAGTGTTTGCAACAACACTGTTTTCAAACTCCAGTAAATCCATTACACTTGGGTAGGTTGAAGGATTTGGTCTCTAAAAAAAGTTTTTAAAAACTGATTAAAAATTACAAAAAGGTAAAAGTTAAAAGTTTTTTCTATACTATGTAAACAAAATTGAAAAACAGAGAATATTTGTCACATGACCGCTCTATTTTGTATTAGTAAAAATAAAGTTCCCCACAATTTCTATCAATGCCCATCAAAATATATAAATAAATGCTAACAATGCTTACATTACGGCTTGTATCATAAATTCCATCCTAGAAGAAAATAAATGAGAAAAAAAAATTTTAGTTTATTTTTAGTATAATATATTGATCTTTTTACATGTTTTAAAACAACCTTTATCTGGTTCAGGTAAAGTTCATCTGGTTTAGGTAAAGTACTTCATACATGTTTTAAATAATCAAAGACAATGAAATATAATAATAATTTAACATTCATTCTGTAAAAATATAAAAATTTAAATTGTCAACATCTAATTTTAAAAGTTTCTTGATATTTAATATTCAAAAAAACCCTTAAAATTTTTTTCATTTAGATAACAATTTTATAAAAATTATTATAACAATTGCTATTTTATAAATAATTATTGATTATAACAACTCTGTTTTTAAAGAAACAAATTATTTGTTGCTTTATTGTCTGCACTCAGGTAAATATTATATGATCTTAATGTATGTTTTAAATACTCAAAAGATTTATATTACTATTTTTTAGATTTTGCAGTGTTATTTTATCTTATTGTGTTAACTATTGTGTTTACTTAATTTTTTTATTTTTATTTAATTTATTCTGATTCACTCCCAACAAGGCTGCAAGCAACCACTATTAAGTTGGAAGTTACTAGAAAAAAAGAATAGAGTAATAAAGCAAGGAAACGTTTGACGAACGACTTAAAAAGTTGAAGGTTGTATGAGTCAAGAAAACATGAATATGGGAGAGAGTTCCAAAAAGGTTGAAGTGTGGGAAAAAACTAGATAAAAACTAGAAAAGTTTTTAAAGCATGCAGGGACAGATACAATAAAAAGAATGAGACTTGGATGAATGATGAGTCAATAGAGAATGAGTTTTAGTTGATGGAACTTGTTAATATTATTTTAATGTAATAAGTTCCATCAACTAATTTTAAGTTATACTAAGTTCCGCTAATATAATTCAGGTATCAAAATAAGATAACAATAAATGTTATTGAAATTGAAATTTAAAAAAATTGAAAAACTCACAGAAAATGGGCTGACAATAATAGAAGGATGTTTGTCTCTACCACATTTTTGATTGAAAATTTGTTTTAAAACTATCATGTCTTGACCATTGTCACAAGCGTAAGATGGCATAACTTGACCAATACATTTTTCCACTGCCAAAACCCATGCATAATCTTTAATTTTTACCAGTGATCCTATAAAAATAAAAACATATTAAAATTTGCATAGATATTGTAAAACTATATAATCTTAATCTCCAGTGAATGTATGCACTCCATCGCCTATCCCTATTTCAATACGATGTCTGAAGATTAGGGCATGGGCAAACAGTATCTATGAATGAAGGTTTATTCTTATTACACATCAAAATGTTATTCAAATATACTAAACAAAACTATATAAATAATAAAACTATATAAACAAACCTAATGGACCAACTGGTTTTTTTTGAAACCGCCCGTGTCTCATAGCTTCGTTAATACCATCTAAAATTGCAGCTGTTGATTTTCCAAAAACAGATAATCGATCTTTTTGATTTGATTCCAAACTTTGAAGTTTGTTTCTTTTATTATCAACAAGTTTTTTAGTATCTCTAATATCATTTCTAAATAATAAAGAATTATATTAGTGTAAAAATGATTAAAATAAATTTATAAACTGCTATTAAATTTTCACATTCAATGTTTACAACTTTAATGTTAACAATGTTTACAACTTTAATGTTAACAATATTTACAACTTTAATGTTAACCACTGTTTTAACATTATATAACCACAATAAATGTTTATAAAAATTAAAGTTTAACACGATACAACATTTGTTTAATTCTTTTTTTTTTATATATATAATGTGCTTAACTTGTGTGACTTCAACAGTTTTCCTGCCAATATCATATTGATTTGACATAGAAAAATTAAAACAATTGGTTGATTTTTTAGTTGGTTAATTTATTAATTGGTTGATTTTTTAAACCATATAAGTATTTAAACAGAAGATTGGAAGTCACAGAAAGGATCTAAGGGTTTAAATAACACCTATTATTTATTTACTCAGTAACTAATAAATGTAATTCAAAAAAAAAAATTGTAACTCTGATACAAGTACAAGTTACAATTACAAATCAAAAGTTGAACTGCAAAATAAAATGAAATGATTTAGCAACACCTTATTTTCCAAAAATAAAATTAAAAAAAAAAAGAAACCTAAAACTCAAAAATTCTTACAGTAACTTGTTTTTGGATTCTTGTCTTTTCCTTATCTCCATTGACACTTGTTGCATTTGTTGGTTTGTAGTATTTAACTGCAACTGAAGCTGCTGCACAGAGCGTTTCTTTTCAGATAATAGTACTTCCCTTTGTCTTTGTTCAAATTCGACATCTCTTTTAGCACTTTAATAAAAGTAAATAAATATATACACGCATAAATAAATACTTCCATAGCTTCAGCTTAGGTATGCTGCAAGCATTACAGCTTAGGTATGCTGCAAGCGTTACAGCTTAGGTATGATGCATGCATTACAAAACAGTACATAGCTTAAGCTTGACAATCCAAGTTTACAAATTTAATACACTGAAATACAAAAAAAAAAGAATTGAAAAAACTAAAACATCAAACATAATAATTAGGGATGTACCAGAAATCTGGCTGGAATTTGTGTTTTTTAGATCAACTTGCTTCTGGGTGGAATCAAAAATTTTTTTTTTTAATGACATGCGACACAGGCTGTGTAAATAAATCAAAAAATCGTTATTATAGAGTTATTATGTATTTGCAGAACTACTATTTCTACAAATGAAATTACATTTGTATTTTTTGCCTAGGTTTACCTATAGTTCTTCATTGCTCTGTAGGATAATGATTTTTTGCCAATTGATCTAAAAGACACAAATTCCGGCCGGAATTCTGGTACATCCCTAATAATAGTATAGAAAGTTTTTGTTTTTTAATGAATGTTTTTGCTCTTTATTTTTATTGTTCTTGAACTGTTTTTTTTTTTAAACAGTCTTTTATTTTTTGTAAATATTTTCTGGAATAAAGTCAGAATTTAAAAACTTAAAATGTTCAAAGCGAAGTCGCTTAAGTTGTTTTTTGGGAAAAAAACAACTTAAGCGACTTCAGTTGGGAAGGCTACTGCTTTTTTTTGTTTTGTTATTATTGTTACAACCCTTTCTAAACTTTCATATACCAATAAATGTGGGTTTAGCTACCCACAAAATATTATTTTTTATGCAAAATGCTGATAATAATTGAAATATTGTTGATATTTCTATATTGATAATACTCTTACTGGGTTTTCAAGTTTATGTCTTCTTGGATTATCATTTGCTAATGACCTGTTACAGAAACCATTTATAAAATCTATTATAGAGTTAGCATCTACTAAGGTTCCCTCTTACTAAGGTTCCATTCTCTTGCAAACTTATCATAAAGTTCCATCTCTCTTTTCAAATAAATGGTTGCTGCTCAAGTTATTATCATATTATTGTTTCATCAATCAAAACTCAATTTTGCAAGACACCTTATTCAGCTATGTTGTACGTTTATACTGTAACTGTTCCTTCACGATTAAAAAACTTTTATTTATCTAGTTTTTATCCTTGAACATAAGTGTGTTAAGATTCTCCCTCACCTTTAAGTGCTTCTGACTCATGACTACATTTTTTCTTCTGTCAACCGCTTTTATGCTTTTTAACTTTATTTTTTGTTTTCCTAACTAAAAAAATGGTTCAATGTTTTTTTTAATAAATGCAGAAAAAGAAAATGGCTTCAACACATATATTGACTGAGAGTTTATGCAGACATTTTATGTTTATGTATGAAATTACAACTAGAAAACGGTTTGAACTAATGTAGGATTGGGTTTGTATATGTGTATATATATTTTAAGGTGGTCCACAAACATTGTTTTTAAAACTATTGAATCTTTGTAAGTCTATTCCACACTGACCTTTTCTATACTTTTTCCTTATTTATATATCCTAGCTTTCCAGGCCCGTAAAATATAGGTCTTAACCAAATTGACCATTTCCATACTTATCTATCCCAAATGGATCACTTCTATACCTATTTTTTATTTACTTCAATATTTTTTAGTAAAATAACTCATTATGAAAAATTGCTTTAAGAGCAAAAAAAATTAACATACCTTTTCAGTATATGTAGAGCTTATAAGAGATTTTTAATTTGATTTTTAATTTTAACAAATCTAAAATTGAAGTTTTAAATTTTCCTCTTGGATGAGACAATTTCTTAAAATACAATGACATAAATACAAAAATTCAAAACAAAACAGTTTATATAAAAAACTTGTAGTTATTAGAAAAGTTTTCTTATATTACACGCAATCCGGTATAAAACTTTATATAAGTGGATTTTTCACATTTGCATATAACATATTTGTTTAATCCTATATTATATTATATAAGATGCAATCTATATTATATTATATAAGATGCAACACTTATTTAGATAACCCGTTTGAAAAAAGTTGATTAATTGCAATCGGTATAAGAGTTTATAATAGTTTCTTTTTCAATTACACGATGGATCAGGTACGGGCAGCACCTTCTGGAGTAGCCGAACTCATGAGTCCAATGCATATGGTTTTTAGCAAACTGTAATCTAGCAATTTTATGGTGTTTTTTTAACATTGGTTTTTGGTGTGGTTTCTTCCACTTTACGTTTGTTGTGGTACGTAGAATATGGCAACATGTTTATTGGTGACAGGCAATAATAATTTATCCTTTATTTGTGTTGCATTTAATTTATTTTTGGTTGCTTTGAAGCGAATTTGATTAATTTGTCGATTTGTTAATACTTTGTTGCTGTTTGTTTTGTTTTTTTACACCGTAATTGTCACCTTTTGCAATTTGGTTTCATACAAAATGGTCAGATCTTCCAATTTTTCTTACTATTTCTCGTATAGAAAGTGCTGGTGAGATTTCTGAGCCACGATATAAATTAACTTGTATTTTTTCAGCATCTGTCAAATACTTTCCTTTAGGCATTTCGTAAAATGCAATAAAAATGATACTGGCAGAGCAAAAGATCAAATTACACTAAGATGTATCAATTTATTTGTGTAAAAGTGATTAAAAATCAAAAATTACCGTTATTAACCTGATTGCCTCTATAGATATACTCCAATTAAAAAAATGTGCTTTTGTATATCAAACATACTCTCATGTTAATAAAGACACATAGAAAATTTTTTTTTGTGGTTTTTATTAGCCCACAACACAACAACTATTTTAATAATAACTTGCATGCATATCAGTTGATAATTCATATAAAAAAATTAAGATAAAGAGAAAAAAATTGATGCGTCTAAATGAATATGCCTCAGTGTATGTGCAATAAATTTCTCCTGGTGCCTTGATAGTTTTAGAAAATTTAATCTTTTTTAAAACCAAAGATTATCAGAGTGTTTTCAGCAGATTCAAAATAATCATCTCTTGGAAAAGTTGTTAAATCCTTGCACGATAGCATGTCTGTAAATTCTTTGACAACTTTATGTTTTATGTTTAACAACCGTTTGTTTTCAGTTTCCAGTACTTGTACTGCTTGAACTTTATCTAAGTTTGACCATACATCTTTAAATTTTGCATACAGTTTGTTTTCTGGACCTAAAATGTCACGAAATAATAATTTCCATACAACACCAACAACAAATTCTAAAATGTGATGACGACAAGCTAGATAGAGTAACTTTTTATCTAGACTTGCTTTCATTAACTTAGCATCTCCTTTGTGTATACCACTATTGCTAGCTGTTGAATCAATCACTAGAGCTACAACTCTATCTGACAGATCACAAACTTGTACCAGATCAAGCGTTACTTCAGCTTGAGTTGTTCTCTGGGAGTTAGCTAGAGAAGGTACACCTAATCATTTTCCTTCCTTGTATTCAGGAGCTCCAGAAATAAGAATTGCAAGTTGTTGATATGTCTCCCAGCATATCTTTTAAAAGCTTACCTTCCCAATACAAAGCATTCTATTGGGGAGGGTTCTGTTTTATTGTCTCCATGACACTTTCTGCAATCTTTTGACGATTGAACATTCTTGTTCTACGAGTTGTAGATTTTGATATCTCAAAATCTTCAAGATTACCCCCAGCAGTTTTTATCAATGCTAATACAATCATTGTCGTTTGATTGTCTGACAACTTGAGATGATCAGCAGCACTGGTTATCTGGTCACATTGCATTATTTTCCTAGGTAGCTTAAGAGTAACATATTTGCCTTGATCTATTTTTGTTGCTTCTTGTTGTAGATTTGTTTCAAAATCAGGATCAATTTCAGTTCAGTTATCTTCATTTAATTGTGTCTCAGAATCATATTCTAGCAAAGCAGCAACTTCTTCGACCTGTTCTTCTCTTAAAATATTTAACCTGCACTGTTCTCTTTCTGTAATTCTTGCTTCACGTGCTTGTCTTGCAAGTTTCAATTCGGCTTTGGTTTCAAAAATTTTATCATGTCCATCCATATATGCTCTTCTTTCCTGTTGTTGATCCAAATAAAAGTTGATATCATCTTGTTTTTTTCTTTCTGACAAAAATCTTGGTTATTTTATTTCATCTATGGCATCAGGTGCACCAATGTTAAAAAGAGAATCAAATCATTCAATAAAACTTGCTCTCTTGCCTCCAGGGTCAGTTGTTCTTCCTTTTTCATCAAACTCTGCCATTCATTCCAAAGTTTCATAACATCAAACATGCAATTCCGTTTGTAATTAGTTTTTATGTGTGCCATATTCCAAAAAACAAGGGCTGCATCAACCACAATGTAAGCAATATCCTCATTTTTCACTTTATTTTTAATATTTTCTGGATTGTTCCTTAGAAATAAAACATAATTTGCCTACAATCAGGCAGTTTGGCCCCATTAATTGATGTTGAAGGATGACCAATTAACCAGAAATCAGTTAACTTTCTTGTCATAGGTCTGCTTGGAGTTCCTTTATGTGAGCTAGAAGTACCTTGACAAAGTGAATTTTTGTCTTCAGTACTTTGCCGTGGTGATGGGTCCCGCTTTTTACTACTTCAAGTCAACATTTTTCCAATATCTTCATTGATAAAATTAAATTTATTCTTTCACTAAACAGTATCAAAACTCGAATAATACAACTAAAAGCCACTGAAAACCAATCAAAACTTTTTAGAAATGATTCTTCGATTATTGCAATCCTAACAAAAAAACAAAAAAACAAAAAAAATGCAATTTATAAAAAAAATGGGGAACATGTTCAGAGGCCTTGAGGGACTTCATGATCAAAAATCTATAAAAATTATTTTTAGACATAGTATTGATAAAATAATGGGAAAAACTCCACTTCACGATGTTTTGACACTTCATAATAATCCTGGACAACCCATATCTATATCTATCT